TATATATATATATTTACATAGAACACATACAGTATTTAAACAGTGCTGTCTATTGTATATGCTATTTCTTGTTGTATTAACATCTTAAACTATAACATTGATATACTGCTGTATTTGTATACATGGTCACACATAGTTAAGTTCACTTGACCAGTAGTGCCAAGCACCAAGTCTGGGTGGGGGAACACCACTTCCTATCTACTACATATCCTGGTTTGGAGGCTATCAATGCACAGCATGAAGTGGGAGGGTACTAAGGTTAACTTGGGGACAGTCAGCATCTCTGGCAGGGACAGGCACCTGTGGCTCCAGAAAAGTGCAAGTAAACATGTGCTTTGTCAGTCCCTTTGGTGATTTAGCTTCAGGTGTCCTGGCACAGTTGGTTGTATTTTACCCTTGGCAGGCACTGTTGTGTTTGAAAGTCTCTTTGGGGGTTAGGCTTCATGTAAAAGTTGGTTGTTTACTCTGCATGTTGCAAGCGTAGGCTCATACTAAGCTTTAAAGATCTTCAAGTACCTGCTAATCTTACAATGTAAATGTGTGGGGATGCTAAATGACTTTTTCTCTACATTTTATTGATAAAGGTGAATTTGCATGGACCTCCTTTATGGTGTTAAAGAGGAACTGCCATCTACTAGATTACTCTTGGTTAACCTAAAGTCCTCAGGCCAACCTTAATTTGTGGTGCGTTTTGCTTTGTCCTTAGAGATTCATAAGGGTTATATCTCTACCACAGCACAAAACTTATAGCACATCCAGAGGCAGAAGAATTTTAGCTTGCACCCTCTGACTTCATAAACAGTTTCTTTAACAAAGATGCAAGAATTCTGCTATCCTATTGCCTATACCAGGGGTAGGAAACCTCGGCTCTCCAGCTGTGCTGAAGCTACAAATCCCATAAGGCATTGCAAGCCACAGGCATGATTCCCAGAGGCAGAAGCATGATGCGATTTTGTGGTTTCAGCACAGCTGGAGAGCCAAGGTTGCCTACCCCTGGCCTATACTAAACATAGACTGCATATATAACTCTAAGGTATGGAGTATGATGGTGGCTGTATGTTTCAGTAAAGTCAGAAGTATAGCTCCTTTTTTTTTCGTTGCCTTTTAACAATGAGACGCACATGTCCTCAGTTGCCTAAGGTATCACTATAGTTTGGTCATTTTATTGACAATATACTTCTTTTTATAACCTTTTATAAAGTTAGTCAAATAATTGAAGCTTGTACAGAAGCCTTTTGCCATATGGCATTGACTTTTTCTCTAAAGTGTAGGTCCCTTGCTTTTGTATTATATCAATTGGTTTAGACTTACATATGCATGGGGCTACTACATCTGTAATATCTTTTTGGGAGGAGAGTTCCTTTTCTGTTGCATATGCTTTGCTACCTTTTACGTCCTTTGTTTCCTGTTTATTACTGACTTTGTATAGAAGAACTTTGTGTTAGTGTTTTCTGGGGAGGTTCCTGCCGGAGGAGGTGCCTTTTCTCTTGGAAGACTGTCCTGGAAACCTTTTACCGGTAAGTGTAACTCTTTATTTTAAACGTTTTTTAAGTTTACAATATAATTTTATTTTTTTTATACAACCTTGTGCATTTTTGTCACCAATGGGACTGTTTACTTCTAGACTTTAGGTTTACCTCAAGTCTCAAATTCCTTTCATTTGCAGTAGCAAAATATTCCAAAACCAAACTATTGCATTATAACATTTATTTCGTAACTGATCTACAATAAATGTCAGAGGACTGGCTGAAACGTAACATACTTATGTGTAAATGGCTACAAAGTGATTGTGCTACATTGTGGCAGAAGTTGTTGGTGATCTGACTGAAAATTCTAAATAATATTTCTCTCCAATATTGTGTGCTGGATAGTTAGACATAGGTGCTGGTTAACCACATCCTTAATGCAGGGGTGAAGATCAGAACTGAGCCACTAATGGAGACAGTGAGAAAGAGCCAGAGGAAGATACGATCGAGAACCTGAGCTACGAATTTCCAGTCTTGTACAACCTAAAATTAAAGAATTCAGTGTTAATTACTGGCACTGTTTATTATAGGTTTGTTATATATAATTTAGCAGTGTGTGGATTTTTATGTTTAAAGGAGAACTATGGGGTTAAGGCTTTTCCCCATAGTTCTCCTTAGGGTAACGGGAGGACACAAACTAGCGTCCTCCCGTCACCCTAAGCTCAGTATACCGTAAGCTACTGCTTGTGGTATACTGAGACACCGCAGCTGAAGCGGATCCCGACAATTATGTCTGGATCCGCCCAGCTGCGTGAGTGACAGCTGGCTCTGCCTATCTAGAGGCAGAGCTAGCTGTACCCGCCCCCTCCCCCATCCGTTCCGCCAGTCAGCGCTGGCGGATCGGAGCAGGGAGGGGAAAATCCAGCCCCTCCCCTGTCATGGCAGAGTGCTGTGACAGGATCGAGAGGTGAGCAAATGCCGGTATGTGTTAACTCACCTCCCGATCTTCTGAGCCGACCTGTGATAGTCTCATTGTCACAGGTCGGCTAGAACTATGAGGTGAGTGAAAAGCACTCACCTCATAGTTCTCCTTTAATATTTTTTAAATATTTTCACAAAGATGTTGTCCTGTATTGCTCCATACATACGGAGATCCAACCACTAAATCACAGCCCCCTACCTGCCAGTGATGTATTACAGCTTAAAGACTATTGCTAACATACCACTTTTCTTTGACCTATAGGTGTTGCATACATATATTATATATAATACATATGTAATGAATATACTTGTCAATTATATTTTTTCAGTGTTCTTATTGTTGAAAATTTCACAGTTCTGTCAACAACTCGGCACTCAGACCCGAATAGCATTCAGGAGTCATGAAAAGCATTTGGGACTTCATTGTGATTAACGTGGATCTACATCACTTGACAGTATGATTTAACCAGTGAATTACAGCAATGGACTTTTTATTTTTAGAAAAAAAAGTAATTGAAAAAAACCTTTTTGCTGTTTTCTTTTTTTTTTTTTAAATAAAGTACTTTTTCATGTTGTTGTCTTTATTTACATTTAAAATTTTTTTTAG